AAAAATAATAAAATATTTTTTAGTAAGAAGTATAATTGTTTTTTTGTCAATTTAATTATTGAAATACTTAAATATTTTTAATAAAAGTGTCATTTAAATTTATTTATTAATTGTGTGTTTGTAATTTTAACATTTAGATTACACAAAAAAAGTACAATGTATATTGATAAACCATTTTCTTAAATAATATAAAAATTAATTTTATTTTATTAATTATCTAATAATTAAAAGCTTTTATGTAATATTAATCATAAAAATAATATCAATTTTTTTGATTTTTTTTTGTAAAAGTTAAATAAAGTAGTTTTTTTTTTTTGCTTTAAAAATAAAAAGAGTATTATTAATACATCCGGATCGGATGAAATAGATTAATCAAATCCTTCTCTTTTTTGAGATATAACATGAGATGCCATCGATCAAGGTCATCCCCCAAGCATAAACATCAATTCAGCCAAATTTTTAGTGATGTACGGCCCCATCATAGGAACCCAATTTGATATTCCTAAATCCTAATCAATTCGCTAAAATTGCTAAAGATAGAATTTTTAAGTAGTACTGTAGCAGCTGTGTGTCTGCTTGCGCGCGTATTTGAACAAATTAACTGGTGCGCTCCCACTGAACCCCAGAAAACGACTGAGTTGGATTGAACTAGAGAGAGTAAAGAACTTTGATTTTCCCTCGCCGTGGATGGGTGGGCGCATCGCAGCTTTCGTTCTCATTTCAGAAAGGTATCCATATATCTTTAACTTCACCTGTGGAATTGCCAAGTACCAGTAAAGGCTTATCTACACCCCCTTTTGGCACAATAATTGCATGTCTATCTCTCTCTCTCTCTCTCTCTCTCTCTCTCACACACACACAACAAAGCAATGATGATGCTCTTAATTTCTTTATCTAGCTCCGTACATTTTTCTTTGCTTTTAGCTATCACGTACTATCTGAAGTATACAATTTTTAGCTTTTATTCCCTATATGTTAGGAGTAGACAATTTGCATTTTTTTTTTTAAACGAAGGTAATCATAGGGAAAAAGAAAAAGGAATATGTTTAATTCATGGATGGAAAAAAAACACTTATAATCTGTAAATTAAAAATAAATATTTAAATAATTAATAAAATAAATTATAAGAAACACTTATAATATGTAAATTATAAACAAATATTTAAATAATTAATAAAATTTAAATTTGCAATAAGATAACTCAATTCAAGCATTAAGATTTCGAAACAAATTATCAAACCGTTCGTTCTCGCTCTTTTTACTAGGAGTCTTTGCATCTGACTCGGGGCTCCGGGTTCCCATGGCAGATGCACATCAATCTTTCTTTCCACGTGCATCATGGTTCATCCACGTCATCGCCCAACTTGGCCCTCCCTGGTTCACGGGTCTCTTTTACTGAGGAATACGCTAACTGATGGACGACTCATGTGATGCCACGTGGACTAACAACTCAATTTTTTCTATTTTATTCCCTAAAGTCAAGGGCATAGGTTAATTATATAATTAATTTATTTTTTGGTTATTATTTCATATGAGAAAATTAAAAAAATTAATATTAATTTTAATATTAATGTCATGTATTTTAATTCAATTAGTTAATTATTAAAATTAAAATTAAAATTTATTTTTATGTAATTTAATAATAATAAATATATTAATTATTTTTTAACTTATAAATTAAAGACACAAGATATAAAAACCTTTTTAATAATGCCACCAATTTTCTACAACAACCCAAAAAAATATTAACTACACTAGAAAAATATAAAACATTATATTTAAAAATATCAATTTTATTTCTTTTTAATAATGCCACCAATTTTCTACAACAACCCAAAAAAATATTAACTACACTAGAAAAATATAAAAAATTATATTTAAAAATATCAATTTTATTTAATTTGATAAATAAAAATAATTAATAATTAATAAAACATTTAATATTTATTAGTTGATAAATTAAAATTAATTAATAAATTAATTTTTTTGACATTATTTAAGAAAACAACTAAAAATTAATAATCATAGAACTTGTTCAAGTGACAATAACTACGTCCTTTTTCTACTACTTTTTACAAATTAAGCACAACAAGAGTAAAATGCCACAAGAGTTTAGTTGAATTGATTCTCACCAAAAACGCAAATTTAAAGTTAAGATTATAAATTCAAACTTATGTATATCAA